TGTCCATGCAATGATGCCCACACACATGAGTGGGCTGCGTTAATCAATTTGGGAGTATGGGCTCTCCCCAAATGCGGGCTTCCAGGAAGCCCGCACGTTGTGCATACACCTTCTCGGTTATGTTGCCCACGCGCATGAGAGTGCAGGATTACTGAATTTGGGAGTGTGTGCTCTCCCCACACGCGTGAGAGTACTGCACTACTTAATTTGGGAGCGTGTGCTCTCCCCAAACGCGGGCTTCCAGGAAGCCCGCGCACTGTGCATGCACTGTGCATGCACTGTGCATGCCCTGTCGCCCATGTGCGTGAGAATGACTGTGCTGCACTACTTAATATGGGAGCGTGTGCTCTCCCCAAACGCGGGCTTCCAGGAAGCCCGCACATTGCGCATATACCCTGTCGGCTACACCGGGTCGAGTGATATGTGCTACAAACATAATTTCGAAGTCGCGTCCCGGCAACATTGATAGAACCTATCAGGGGCCACTCTCCTACCCAGATGGATGGTCGTGTAGTGTCGCACTTTGAATCTAGTACTATTATCTAATCGGACATGTCGCCAGCGCGGCTGGTCACACCGTAAAATGGTAGAGCTGCCGCGGCTCGCCGAATAGAATCCGGGAGCCCGAGCGCATATCGTGTATCACAAGCGCTAGTTCTCATAATAATACATGGGAAGCGAGGTGGTACAAGAGGGCGAGTCGGGACGTAGCTTGAGGTTTGTCGAGGCACGATGCCGCCGACCCGTATGCGCTCTTTTAGGGAGAAAAGGAAAAGAAACAAGAAAAAAGAGGTGAACGACGAGATGGAGAGGCGGCAAGCGTGGCACTAGGCGGTGAGTGCGGCGAGGAGGGCGGGATGCTTGCGAATGTAAACTTTGAATGCCTCTGAGGACCAACGCCCCGCGGCTTGGATGCGGTCGGGTGGGACACCTGCCTCCGCGAGGGCGGTAGCTCTGCCAGCGCGCATGGAGTGGCCGGCGATCGACGGCGGGAAGAGTCGTCGGAGCCGGGCCATGAACCAGGAGCACGTGGGGAGAGACCCGTCTGCCCGGATCCATAAGTAGGGTCGGGTGCGCGCGCGGTCGTCGCGAAGGAGCAGGTATTAGTAACGGCGGAAGGCAGCAACAGGGCACGGCGGGAGTGAGAGGCGAGTACCAAGATGTCATCGCCCTCAAACGTCGTGTCCGCCTTGTGGCCGGGGAGGTGGAAGGAGATGCTATCGGGTGCCAGCACGACCGAGTGGCGCATGGAGATCTTGGAATGTCACGCAGCTGCACGCGGTCGGGCACCACGAGTTCGCCTGACTGCAGGAGAGCGTAAAACCCCACTAGAAGTTGGGCGATGAAGAGGGAGTCGTCGTAGTTGTTGTCCGGGCGCAGGCGCGCGACGGCGGAAGCAAGGTCACCTTTCGTGAGCGGATCCTTGCGATTAGCCGGTGCACCGAAGCGGCTGAATGAGCCGCGCATCGTGCGCACAACCAGGGAGCTTTTCCGGACTTGACGAACGTCGGGATAGATAGGTAGTTGGCTGCAGATTCCCGAGAGATATGAGTTGATAGATTTGGGGCGTACTGATGCTTGCATGAACACGATGAAGCGGGCAAGGGTGTCGGTCGTTGCATCAGGAAATCGACAGGCGACTTTTCAGCGCTTTTGGCTAGCTGGGCCGCTTCTCCCCGCTTTAAGCCGCTTTAAGCCGCTTTGGAAGCCCACACCAGCTCCGATGTGGGGCCTAGTGGTAACCGTGGGTTGTAACAAGCCTAATGGCCCCAAAAGCGCGAAAAAGACTAATCGACAGAAACAAGGCACGAAACCAATCAAAAAGCAGTAAAAAGTGCATAATCATACTATCGTAAATGTTGTAGTGAACATACAGTAGTTGTACTTAGGTGCATAAGCCGAATCATAGTGATTTTGTCTCCGCACATCCATTTACTACCCAAGCTGAGTCGATGCCAATCCATGACAGGAAAGACCACGTTTGCTGTCTGGAGAACGGCGCGTTGGCGATCCTTGAATGTGGCTGCTGAGATCGGGGCCGTGTGGTCCATGCTCCTATCAAAACAGGCTTTGTGTCCGGAGAGGAGAGGATAAGGAGCGCGTTGACAGTGTCGCGCTGCTGCCCTCACCCAAGGCTGCGGCTAGAATGCCGCTGGGCAAGAGGATGGAGGATATCAGCGACACCGGCGACAACTCCGCCAATACAATCCGTGCCGTGTGGTCCTCGATGCCGTGAGGCGTCTTGGGAGACGCTGTCGAGGCAGGGGACGACGAGGTGGAGTATGAAGGGGAGGGGGTCTCCGGAGTATCTGGAGGCGGGTACGAGGGAGCAGGCGGGTGCGCGAGAGGGGCCGCTGGTGGTGGTGATGGGCGCACAGGCTTCGGAGGCGAGGGATACCGCTGAGGGGCATAAGGGGAGGGAGATGGTGTCGACAAACTTGATGATGTGGGCCTGGGGATGGCGTCGACGAGGGGAAGACAGTGGAGGGGGGAGAGGGCGTCGCTTTCGAAAGGGATGGGAGGACGTAGGTGGGATAGGGTCCAGGGCC